GTTACAATTAAATTTTCTTTTATAAGTAGAAAAACTATCATTGAAATCTATAAAATGACATAAAATTAATACAAATATGCTTGAGTCGTATAATACTGTTTCAAGGCTATAGACAACCAATAAGAAATTGTCAGACACTTAAAGATAACAATAAAGCAATAGACAAATCCTTCAAAAACTTATACTAAGGCAAATACTGGTAAAAGATTGAAATCTAACAATAAGAATAAGATAGAAATTAATGTGTATAGTATTCACACTACCACTCGCAATGAAGAAACTTATATGTAAAATTTGTTTCCCATTTATGTCAATATGGCAAACCCTCATTAGTTTGGGTAATTCCAAACGAAGTTTTATAAACAAGGATAATGAAATTAATGGTATTAATTTCTAAGAATTAAATTTCCAGTAAAGGGAACCTGTTACAAAAATGTAAGAGTGATTCAACATGACATAACATACCTAGTACGTATGAATGTAATAATTAGCAAGTTTTCTATAGATTTTTTAGTTTTTTAATGAATATCTATACAGTTCTTATTGCATTAATTTGGAAAGTTTTTGAACACGTATTGTACTTAAAATGTAAAACATGAAGTTATCAGAGAATAATGAAATTAGATGTTGATGTACACAAGAGACAGAATATCTACATCAGAAGGTTATTAAACAATTTTAAAGTTACCTCTATTTTATTTTCCTGTGGTGTGTCATCTGATACTAAACAGATCAGCATAGTAGTTAAACCAGCAGCGGTAAATGATAAAGCAACTGAAAGCAATACCCATTCCAACCATTTTCTGGAACTGAGTTTGTGCCGGGATATAATCCTCCAGAAACTACTTCTTATCCCGCCTCCTCCTCCAGCACCATCACCACCGCTGTCATACGTGTAACCCACCGTTGTGGGTTGATAAACGGCACCGCTGTCTGGCATATCTTCTCGTGAAATATACGCAATTTTCACGATTTTTCCTTGTGCCCAACAAGGGGCACTTTACACGTTCACAGAAAGTTTTATTGAAACTGATCGAAATTGGGCAAAAAATGGTATTGCCCAACAGAATACAAAAAATGATTGACACACCACCAATATGCCAATTTCAGAAAATATTTATAATTATTTTCAGGTTACTATTGTGTACACGATGACCTTATTTTCCACAACTTTATCGTTATATGTAAGTACATATTCGCAATGCAGATCTGCAGTACAACCTGGATACTTTACTGTATTCTGTGAATACTATACGTATATACTACACTGATACACTACATATTTTGTTAATATGTATGTACATCTCGAGCATTCTCTAGTGAGACGTGTTACTACTACATGAATGGTGGCGGGTATTTTAAAATTTTTACTAACGCATCCCGTACTTTTCTCTAAATTATACATTAGAAATGAAACATTTATAACTTGTAATACAAAGATAAAATATAATTTATTTATAAAATGAGTTTTTTGTGAATATGCAAAAATTATTTATCATTATTGAATAATATAATGAGATAATTTAATGAATTTTATTAACTAAAAATTACAGTCTAAAGCAAGGTATAAAAGTCCTAAAAGTATAATGTTTAATTAATAATATTTGATTAAATATTAGTAGGTAGCGGAATTTTATGCAGTTACGGTAATACATGCATACCTGGTATATGTATAAGTAATACTTAATTCCTGCACATTTCTTGGGTTGCATTTGCTAAGGACAACGACAGAACTGCTTTGCTCTGATTGATTGATGATTTACTGCGGATAGGATTCGCAGTAGAGTGATGGAGATACAAGTGCTTGCTGAGGGAGGCAGGAAAACGTGCAAGAACGTGAAATCCAGGTACAATTTGTTGTTAAATATTGTATGTGGTTTAAGTCTTACACCAGGGCTCGGAATTAACTGCACATGACAGAGATAGAGCATTTTCGGAGGCTACTCTGAAATGTGTTGCAGAGTGTTATCATCCAATCCCATTTATGAGATGTCTCCTGCAGCACATAATTCTGACATAATCCGACCCACAAAAATCCCCAAATTCCACCGAATAATACGCAATACCCTAGTCTCCCCACCCCCCATAAATCACCGTTCTTCAGGTCCATAACATCTACCAGCATTAGCGCGACGAGCGAAAGAGCGGTCAGAAGGAGATTTATTATAAATATATACACTACAAATTCATGAAAACTCAATAAATAATGTGACACAATAATATTACCATTATTTCTTATTGTTTTATTTATACAAAGAACATGAAATATACTGACATATAAGTATTTTAAAATATAGTACAAATAATTGAATTATGCATACAATTGCTGTGGAGAATACTTATTCATTTCATAAAATAAAACTTAAAATTGCTGACATTTACGAATTTGTAAAAGTGTCACATTTATTGACGAGTATAATGTAATGAATACTGTTGATGGCCTTAAAGTAGCTATCACAGCATAGGCTCTATTATCACACAATGTTAAATAAAATTGTCCTTAAATAAAATTTCCCATTATCATTAAATTTAATGTATTACAGGTTTAACATATTTTATGTGCACTTGGACACTGAGTTAATTTTTAAAACTGATGCATTTAACGAAAGTGCAACATTTAATAT